TCTTAATTGTGCCATTTGATGAGTTGATAAATTTATCCACCTGTGTATGTATCATCAGTCCTGAAAGTTCCCTCAGGCATCTTTCTAGCCAATGCCTGTCCCCATCCCCAGAGGCAGATATTGTTCTTTTTCTCTACTGTAGATTAGATTTGTCTTTTCTAGAACTTCATGTGAAAGGTAATACGAAGTTTGTGTTCTTTGTGTCAGGTTTCTCCACTCAGCAGTAATGCTTTTGAGAGTTACGTATGTTATATTTATTAGTAGTTTGTTTCTTTTTATTAATGCTGAGTATTGTTTCATTGGGTAAGCATACTGTCATATTTTTATTCATCTTTCTGCTTAAAAGATTCTGGCTATTTCCAGGTCTTTGCTATTATAAATAAAGCCTCTCTGAACATTATTGTATGTATTTTTCATGGACATAAGTTATCTTGAGGCAATTCCTAGGAGTGGAATTGCTGATGCGCAGGGTATATTTATGTTAAATTTCAATTATAGAAAAAACAATCTTACTTTTTTAAATATATTTTGTATTGCTCCTATTAGAACTTACCTATATTGTATGAGTAAACTTGGTCTTGCTGGTTCTTTGTTCTGTTAACAGATGTGAAAGTAAACCCTCCATATTTCTCCTCCTCTCCTTCTTCAAAAATAGGTTTGCTGTGGAAAAGGTAGAGATTTTCTTAAACAATAGGCTTTTAGATTTCTGCCCAGAGTAAGAAATAAACACATTACACTTTGTATTGTTTTCTGAATGTACCTGCAGCACATGTGCCTTGCATATGTACACACACACACAGGGGTCATATCTACTCCCCTTAAAGTCAATAATCTTCATCTCAGATAGGCTACTGTGATTTAAGCACACCATTTTGGACTGAGGGCTCAGGTGGCTGTTGCTTCTATTTTTTAGTGTATAGTTAACATTGGCAGTCACCCTTATAATGATGTGACACCAGCTACCCCCAAGTTCATTGAATAAGCCGTGACTACCACAGGAGAACTTGATTTAATTGGCAACAGTGTTTGCCATCACATGATAGGCACTGAAGTAAAACGGAACCCAATTTCTATATTATCCCTTTTTGATAAAACAACAAAAACAAAATGTATTTTTAAACTATGTGAATTATGTAATTTCTACTTTTCAATACATTTATTGGGATCAAGTATCTAGATAACTTTATTTAGAAACTGAAATCTTTAAAGCTGTTAAGGGAATACTTGAAGCTTGCAGTTACAATATTGTCAACAAAAGATGTGATTAAATAAATTGACTGTTGAAGACTTTAGGCTTATGGTTAACACCAGGTAATTAAAAGTAAGCACTGCTGTGGGAGTGCATTATATATCAGCTGTCCTCTTTACCTCATTAACTGGGTTTTTGCATGTTTATGGAGCTAACTTCAATTAAAAATGCTTTTTAAGTTAAGCCTAATATGGTCTTTTAGTTACTATTTTTGTGTAAAGTATTACATTTAATTGAAATTGGTGCATAATAAATATGTGTGAATAATATACAAGATAAACAAATCTGATAATTTGATATTTTTGCATCTAGCTTTTATATCTATGCATTTTTCTTCTATATATATTATCAAAATACAGTCTGGGGGTTAAAAAGAAAATCTTGGGTTCTATAAATACCAAAAAATTGTTTATATTTGCATTTATTTATTTATCTGCCTTGTAAGATTTCTAAGGTTTTAAGATTTCAAATTAGTGGTGCTTTAAAGTCCTTATAGAAACATGTTGGGTTTTCTGCTTCAATTCTGAGGTTAAGAAAAAAGTTAATTATGTTTCCATTTGAGTGCCAAAATTCCTTTTTTATATATCTTTTATATATGTTATTTAAGTTGGATAATTAAAGATAATTGTAAATTTAAAGGATATTATATATATAAGTTCACATGTTACAGTGGATTATTATATTTCCATAGTACATTGTCCTTGTCTTGCTAATGGGTTTCAGCCCCTGGCAAGTTTGCTATGAATTCAGTGTGACCAAAGAAATGACAGTAAAGCATTCTTGGGTTGAAAGGGTTATACCCAACTTTATTTCCATGGTGACAGGTCAGTCACTATCCTGTTCACTCATTGCGAGTCTGCATGTAGCAAGCTGGTCTCTGCCTCTGGGCCCCTTTGTCCGCACAGCCATCTTCTGGGCCCCTCTGCCCACACAGCTGTCCTCTGGGCCTCTCTGCCTACACAGTTGTCCTGCACAGCGGACCTCTGGGCCTGTGTCCTTGGTGCTGCCACCATTCCAGCCTCTGCTCTGCTCTCCTGCAGCCTTGCAGCCGTGCCACTGTATTGTGCCCAGAGCACTGGGTGGATCTCTTTATATAGAGTCAATAGCAACATATTGTAGTTATATGTGTAGTGAGCCAGCCAGCCAGGGCCAGGTGAGAATCCTGGCCACAGGAACTTTCATTTTATCCAAACTCCACCCCTCCAGGATTCTCTCCTCACAATCTGTGTGCTCTCAGTCCTCTGCAATGGTCCCTGTGCAAGGAAGCTGGAACATTGTAATCAAACTCCACAACAACACAATACAATATACAAATAACAGAAATTATAAATTATAATAACCCTCAAGCCTGAGGAGCTCCATTGCCACAAAGTGGTCATCCTGGCTGTATTCAAATCAGTTCTATTCAACTGAGTTAACCAAAAGAACTATGGGTGGGTTTTACAATACCCTCTTTCTTCAGTCTCTCCAGCAAAAAGTCTTACAGGCACACGGGACAGGCTTGTGGCTCTGTCTCTGATCTCTGCCTCTTTGGTTTTAATGGCTGGAACTGCTGCTCTTGTTTCAGTTGTTGCCATAGCTCTCATAAGATCATATTTGACTTCCCATCTAATTTCCTTCCATCTGCTCCTGCCCGTATTAAATCAACCCACATCTGGGACCTCGTAACCTTCATGGGGCCCTTTAAATTCTTCTTGTGAGTAGCAGACCTTATTTCTTTCTGTGTTCTCATTGCTTCAGCCTCTTCTAAGTCTGCTACTGTATATGACACCTCGCTTATGGGCTGCCCTAAGTGAGGGGAAAGAATGGCCACTGGAGACCCAAAGAGGGATGTGGGAGCCATTTGAAGCACAATATTTCTCATCCCAGTAGTGAAAATCTTCATTTGGGTCATAATTCTCTGGACTATGGATGGCATCTCTTATGCCTAGCTCTTGTAACACCCGTTGGAGCTCAGCATATGTCTGCCATCTAACAGGAGAGGATGGTAGATCACCATGATTGGGCCACACAGCATGAAGTGCGGCCATAAGCCAATTGAGGAGGGAATGACTCCCTGGGGTCTGATGTGCATTTTGTAATCGCTGCCTGAAGGTGGGCTGCACTGTCAGGGAAGCCAGCTTTCCCATCTCTGATCCCGACAGAACAATTCCATCCACCCCTAAGTCCCACAGATGCAGGAGCAAAGCTGATATTGACTCCGAGGGCTTTTGCCTAAACCAGGAGCCCAAATCCACCAGCTCAGCCTGAGTATAGGGGTGGAGCATAGAGTGCTCCATGACCTGGGGAGGGGGCTGCTCCTCTCCTTGGGAAGCTCTCAGCTGCTGGGTCTTTCTTTACAACCACTGGGTGTGCTTTCAATACAGGAGGGGTCAGTGCTTCCAGCACCACCCCTTCATCCTTCCCCAGCTCCTCAATTTCCGGGGATGATGGCACCTTTTTCTCCACTCCCCCAAGTGCCTCTGCTGCAGTGCCTCACAGCAATGCCAGCTCAGTCTTCAGCAGCTCTCTTACCTTCATCTCAATGCTTCACAGCTGATGTTCTTGTGCCATTTCTGCCTGTGCTTCCGCCAGGAGTGTGTCTTTTTCCTTGATGGCCTTTTCCTCCTTCACAGCACCTGGCAGCACTGCTGTCTTGTTCTGTAAGGAATCTTTTACCTTTTTAATGGCACCTCCCTGCCAGTGTTCTTGGGCTGCCTCCTCTTGCATCAATGCCATTTTCTCCTTCAGGGAATCCATAGCAGTTTGCATCTCGTGTTCTTGTGCTGCCATTTCTTGGGTCTTTTTCAGGAGTATGTCCTTCTCTTCTACTAGACTTTTTTAATACTGTGAGAAGCAGCCATCCCACAGTCCCCGCTGCCTCTCGGGCACTCTGTCCCTCAAAAGACCTACTTACTATATCAAGGGCTATCTTTACTGCCTCAGGTATCGCCTCCACCTGCCTCCAGTCCTCTGGTGGGGCCCAGCCCTCTAGGAGGCAAACCACCTCAGATGACAAACCCATTGGGGGACAATCCACTGTGTCCCCATTTATAGGGGCAACCCACTGAAGCACCCCTCTTATAATGGCAGCCTGTCTTTTTCTTTGGTCAACAGTGAATCCTGCCGACTGCGCCAGTTGTCTTGGCAATGATTTTCAGTCCCTGGAAGTTCGCTGTGGATTCCGTTGTGACCAAAGAAATGATAGTAAAACATTCTTGGGTTGAAAGGGTTATACCCAACTTTATTTCCATTGTGGCAGGTCAATCACTAAAGTCCCATTCATTCAGAGCAAGTCTGCATGTAGCAAGCCTGTTTCTGCCTCTGGGCCCCTCTGCCTGCACAGCCTTCCTCTGGGCCTCTCTGTCTGCATAGTCATCCCGTACAGCCGACTGTCCTCTGTCCTTGCCGCTGCCACCATTCCAGCCTCTGCTCTGCTCTCCTGCTGCCTTGTAGCTGTGCCACTGTCTTGCACCCAGAGCACTGGGCAGAGCTCTTTATATAGAGTCAATAGCAGTGTATTACACATGTGTGTAATGAGCTAGTCATCCAGGTCCAGGTAAGAATCCTGGCCACAGGAACTTTCATTTTATCCACAGTCCTCATTCTAAAAAAAATGCAGGTAAATATGAAGACCATTGAAAAGATATCTTTCTTATTGGGAGAGTATTTTAAACTGTACATCAAAATGGAGATCCCGTTCACTAAATTAAATTCTTGTAATTAACTTGAGAGGTCTGTATTTGAAATCTATTTACTTTCTTTCTTTCAGAAGTGTCATTGTTGCAACAAAAAAATCATCAGTCTTACCTTCCACACTTACAAGTATACCTGCCAATGCTGTCAGTGTGGTTACTTCAGTAGATTCATCCCAAGCCTCAGACGTGGGAGGAGAATCACCTGGTGAGTAGCTGTTAGTGATTTCAACCAAAAATTTTTTAGATCTCATGTTAGCAAAGCTTGGGATTTTTGATAAAGCTTTGTTAGGTATCTTATAAATCATTATGCTTTTATATTATACTGTTGATTGTTTAGTAATGTCTTTAGTAAATCTTAATATTAAATAAACTAAATCAAATACTTAAAGCATTTTCTTTGGAGCCCAAATCCACCAGCTCAGCCTGAGTATAGGGGTGGAGCATAGAGTGCTCCATGACCTGGGGAGGGGGCTGCTCCTCTCCTTGGGAAGCTCTCAGCTGCTGGGTCTTTCTTTACAACCACTGGGTGTGCTTTCAATACAGGAGGGGTCAGTGCTTCCAGCACCACCCCTTCATCCTTCCCCAGCTCCTCAATTTCCGGGGATGATGGCACCTTTTTCTCCACTCCCCCAAGTGCCTCTGCTGCAGTGCCTCACAGCAATGCCAGCTCAGTCTTCAGCAGCTCTCTTACCTTCATCTCAATGCTTCACAGCTGATGTTCTTGTGCCATTTCTGCCTGTGCTTCCGCCAGGAGTGTGTCTTTTTCCTTGATGGCCTTTTCCTCCTTCACAGCACCTGGCAGCACTGCTGTCTTGTTCTGTAAGGAATCTTTTACCTTTTTAATGGCACCTCCCTGCCAGTGTTCTTGGGCTGCCTCCTCTTGCATCAATGCCATTTTCTCCTTCAGGGAATCCATAGCAGTTTGCATCTCGTGTTCTTGTGCTGCCATTTCTTGGGTCTTTTTCAGGAGTATGTCCTTCTCTTCTACTAGACTTTTTTAATACTGTGAGAAGCAGCCATCCCACAGTCCCCGCTGCCTCTCGGGCACTCTGTCCCTCAAAAGACCTACTTACTATATCAAGGGCTATCTTTACTGCCTCAGGTATCGCCTCCACCTGCCTCCAGTCCTCTGGTGGGGCCCAGCCCTCTAGGAGGCAAACCACCTCAGATGACAAACCCATTGGGGGACAATCCACTGTGTCCCCATTTATAGGGGCAACCCACTGAAGCACCCCTCTTATAATGGCAGCCTGTCTTTTTCTTTGGTCAACAGTGAATCCTGCCGACTGCGCCAGTTGTCTTGGCAATGATTTTCAGTCCCTGGAAGTTCGCTGTGGATTCCGTTGTGACCAAAGAAATGATAGTAAAACATTCTTGGGTTGAAAGGGTTATACCCAACTTTATTTCCATTGTGGCAGGTCAATCACTAAAGTCCCATTCATTCAGAGCAAGTCTGCATGTAGCAAGCCTGTTTCTGCCTCTGGGCCCCTCTGCCTGCACAGCCTTCCTCTGGGCCTCTCTGTCTGCATAGTCATCCCGTACAGCCGACTGTCCTCTGTCCTTGCCGCTGCCACCATTCCAGCCTCTGCTCTGCTCTCCTGCTGCCTTGTAGCTGTGCCACTGTCTTGCACCCAGAGCACTGGGCAGAGCTCTTTATATAGAGTCAATAGCAGTGTATTACACATGTGTGTAATGAGCTAGTCATCCAGGTCCAGGTAAGAATCCTGGCCACAGGAACTTTCATTTTATCCACAGTCCTCATTCTAAAAAAAATGCAGGTAAATATGAAGACCATTGAAAAGATATCTTTCTTATTGGGAGAGTATTTTAAACTGTACATCAAAATGGAGATCCCGTTCACTAAATTAAATTCTTGTAATTAACTTGAGAGGTCTGTATTTGAAATCTATTTACTTTCTTTCTTTCAGAAGTGTCATTGTTGCAACAAAAAAATCATCAGTCTTACCTTCCACACTTACAAGTATACCTGCCAATGCTGTCAGTGTGGTTACTTCAGTAGATTCATCCCAAGCCTCAGACGTGGGAGGAGAATCACCTGGTGAGTAGCTGTTAGTGATTTCAACCAAAAATTTTTTAGATCTCATGTTAGCAAAGCTTGGGATTTTTGATAAAGCTTTGTTAGGTATCTTATAAATCATTATGCTTTTATATTATACTGTTGATTGTTTAGTAATGTCTTTAGTAAATCTTAATATTAAATAAACTAAATCAAATACTTAAAGCATTTTCTTGACTTAAACATAATAGTGTATGATAAATTGGATGCTGCTGGTGGGGTGGATGAATGTGTGAATGAATGATAGATTAAAATACATTTTTTCTTTTTTCTGCACTTGGGAAGATTTGTATAGTCATTTTGAAAAGCAAGTTTTGGTGACATTTAGTCTTTTAATCTGGTTATCAATTGTCAGATGTTGGGTAGTATTTAGTACTTTGATATCTTTTGCATATTTTTCTGAATTAGAGACTTGGAAAGGGAATGCTGCCCTGAAGTATATCATCATTCTACTATTAATCATAGAGGTTCAATAACTCTTACTGCAACTTGATTTTTATCCATCTCTCTATATTCCTTCCAAGTGTAAAAGCCTTTTGGTGCATATAAATAGGTGCAAGATCCTAAATTTCTAGATATTAATGGTATCTTGCCCGTGGGTTTCAGCCCCAGTTAAATTCACTATGGATTCAATGTGACCAAAGAAAATGACAGTAAAACGTTTTTGGGGTGAAAGAGTTTATTACCTGGCTTGTTCTCCCCATGGTAGGTCGAGCACTAGCGTCTCTGCCTCCGCCCAGAGTACTGGGCCGAGCTCTCTATATAGTGCGGTAACAGCTTATTGCCTACAGGTGTGGAAGCAGTAGCCTAGCAACAGGTCATCAAGTGGTTTAGGTTCAGTGAGGATTCTGGCCATAGGAGCTCCAACTTCCCCACAATGGAAAGCTTAGTCATAAAGTACCAAGTAAACTTGAAGACCATGTGATGCTAAAATGACCAAGCTAGCACAAGAGATATATTTAATAATATCAGTAGCATTTTTCTAAATGTTGTGCTCTTTCATTAAAAAAAATTGCCAACTTAATATTATTTCCCCAAAAGCATTCTTTCTTGTTACGCTTGAATGAGATTAATAAAAAAAAAGAGGTATTTTGAAGGAATTAGTAGGTGGATTATATTAAAATCATAAATAGTATCTTTCCTTCATCTTTTTGGAAATCACAAGCCTCCCATCTGCTCTTCTAGCTTTACTTGGTGAAAAAGTGTATATCAGAAAATTTTGTTCCTAACTTGATGTTTCTACTAGCCAGTTGCCAGGGATATTTTGTTTTTCCTTTCAGGGTACTATAAATCGTGTCCCAGAAACAGACTATGACTGCTTATTTCTTTTATCTTCCCCCAAATTTCCCTTCACTTGTGTTAAGAAAAATAATTTTTTTCAAGGTTTTAAATGATTTATTAATTAGAAGTATTTTAGTTCTTAGTGATTAAGAGAAAATGCTCATAGTTGGTTAAGTAAAAAAACTATTCTATGCAATACTTTATACACCATGTAAATCATTGGTAACTGTGTGAGGTGTGTATCTTTTGTATCTGGGAAAAGCAAGAAAACGTACTCTGAAGTTACTCGATTAGTTCTATGTGGTTGAACTACTGGCAGTTTTGATTTTTTAATTTTAATTTTAGTGGCTTTTCCAAATTGTTATCAGTGATCTTCTATTGTTTTTATATTTGAGAAAAAAATAGTTATTGAAAAAAAATATCCACCTGGAAACCAGAAGCTGCAGTGGTAGTACACAGAGTTTTGTGTTGCCTTGCTTTTTATTTTATTAAATTAACAAAAAATAAGAGACCTTATTTTTAAGATCAGTTTAGGTTATGGAAAAATTGAGTGGAAAGTAAAGAGTTCCCATATGCCCCCTCAATCCCACTCCCTTCCTATTTCCTTAATAATATCTTGAAATAGTGTGGTACATTTATTATATTTTGTCACTGACTTAGATAATATAAAGGGAAATAAGTGTAAAACTAACAGGTTTTTCTACTTTCTTATTGTTCCATTGTACTATGATGCTTCCTTTTTTTACTTTGGAGAAGCAATTTGATAATCTATTTTGGGCTGGTTATGCAAATATCTCTTCTACCTCCATCCAATGCCTTTAAGAAAATATTAACTGATTTTTCTGCACTAGCTCTGTTGGGAAAAAGGCAGAAGTTACTAATATGTGTGAAGCTATGTGCCATCTTCTTAGTTCAGTAAGAGTGAATTCCTTATAACTTTCAGTAAATGTATTAATTTCAGAGGTTCATAATACAGAGTAAAATATTTTCAGTTTATTTTGAATACATTGCCCTTTAATTCCAGTTTATGGGACAACATAAATAGGATCTTCTGATTTCTTTTAAACATTTTTTCAAAATTTAAATCATTCAGTCTTCAGAAAAAATAAACAGTAAGAAAGTTGAGATATATGGCTAATATTTGATATATAGCAGTATAATAAATTTTGTCTGAAGCCATGGTATTTTTTCATGTAAGTGCATTATATTATGAAGTTACTTGAAGAACCATATGCAGAATTACAAAATGATTGCTATTCTGAAGACTATTGCATTTATTGGCAAAAACCCACTAAACCTTGTGTCTCGCCCATAATGTACCTTTTTTCCTCCTATTATTTAAATTTTGTGTAATTTATGGTGGTGGTGGTTCTCAGATATTTCCAAGGTTTTCTATTTTGTGCTAGAATTTTTAGCTATTTTCTCTTCTTCCTATCCCTCTTATTTTTTAAAAAAATGATTCAGTCCTTTTTAAGTCATTCCAAGTCTTCGTGGTGACGGTCTGTCTTTTTATCATTTATTTTGGTTTCCATAGCCGACTCTTCCTTTCCTCTTCCTATTTCACTGTGCTGTCATTATCAATGTTATATGGTGTCTCCATTTTAGTTTATTATTTCTATTCCATTCCATTAATTGCTTTTATGAATATTACTGCTTTGATAAGAAAAATCTACCCCAATCTAGTGTTTATAGTCATTCTACTTCTTACTCTCCTACAGCTCCATTTTATGTGCTTTTGCCCAGCATATGTGACCCTGTACCCTGTTCTCTTCTCACTTGGAAGCCAAAGCCCACAAGTAAAGAGTTATCTCTTCACCATCAATATTTTTAAGTGATAGATTATTTTT